AAATTTATGATTCCTACTATATATAATCGGCTAAGCGGTTGTGTGTGTGTGTGTGTGTGTGTGTGTGTGTGTGTGTCTGACCGGAAATTCATAACTTCGCTCCCTTTGGACCAAGAGCGCTCAAACTTCTAGGATATGTACGGGGCCGGGCGTGAACACTGATAGTGGGTGGCGGGAAGTGATAGCTACTGATAGAAGCTGATAACGGACGCCGAAATGTTGATGTCACCAATTTGCGTTACACCGTTCGCGATTTAATTAAACTTTCGACTTCTACTTTGGAGCAAACAAGCAAATGAAAACTAAACTCAAATACGAACAGCAATGTGATACAAAAGTGTGAAGGAATTACGTTTCATGGATGTCATTACTAGTGTTCTTCATAAAAGCAGCCAATCAAAAGAATTTTGGGCATCTGCAGCGCGTGTTGACCCTTTTTGTTATTTGAAGCCGCGAAGAGATCCTTGTGCTTTAGACATGGTTGCGTGACATCTGTAACATTTCTACTGTTAACTCCTCTCAAATCTTTACCTACTTCTACTAACACAGTTGCGTGGAAAGCTGGTGACTTGAAAGTGTTCACGCTCAACATTCAGTAGTGATTCGATCACCTCCAGTTGGAGCCATTTATGCGAAGAGGTAGTGTGAACATGCGCATTCAAGCTTTTTACGCGTGTCATTCAATCTGCCCAACCTTCCTCTCTCCCCATTCCCTAACTGGCTATACTGCCCCAGACTCTCGATTCCATATTTTATCTCAGTACTTCGTTCACAGGGTAGAGACAGGTAGCGTGGGAGGCTTTGCCGGAGGTCCCCTCCACTCAACTAGCGTTGTGCCCTTGTTTTGCTTGCTTTCAGTTTTGAGTTCCGAAAAACGCACCTTGTGGGACAAGCTGACGCGCTTGCGCGTCAGGCAAATCGCGCCCGCCAAATCGCCCATGTCCCATGCGGCGGAAAAAGCCAAAACCTGTCATCAACTTTTTAAGACTAGGAGATTAAGATCAAGTTTTCAACTTGAGTCTTGCTGCCTTTGATTGGGACGGAGTAACAGGAGCACACATAAGCTGTACTTATAGATTACATGTAATAATGCTGATTCGCATACATATCCAAAAACTCTTCTTAAATACACAATTCCGAACAGAACAGATCAGTGTCTGTTTAGGAAAAGGTTCTTATTCGCAAGTGATGAAGGGACTAACCGAAAACAACTTAAACATTGCTGTTAAGATAATTGATACAAGGTAAGGTGTTCAGAATAGTTGTATAGAATGTCTTAGAACAATGTCTGAGTACCCAGAAACTTTTTCGTCATCAACCATTATGGGAGCCTTTGAAAGTGTGCACTATTTCAGCGGAGGGAGAACTGGGCACTCCCGCAGACGGCGTCTCATTCGGGCTTGTCAGCTTGCGCCCAAGGGTTGTAAAGGTTGTTGGCCTCCCCCATGTTCGAATGGAGTCTGTTGGGCACAACCCTATATTATTGCAAAAAACACATGGTCAGATCCCAGCGCCAGCACGACCCACGAGTAGAACGATTTGGGAGAGAGTGGTTAAGGGTTCAGGGCAGAAGCCGATGAATGTGCTGTTAAGGGATTGCGTTCTCGCCGTGTTCTAACGTAACGTCTAGAGAGCGCCAAGGGAAGGACTCGCACTGAGCGCTTATTGTTGCTTCTGCCCATTACATGCACTCATTCGCTGGCAGAGCTGGTGCAAAGATTCTGTAGATCAGGGACGATAGTAAAGTGCCCTAGCTGGCAATCAAATGTGGTGAATTTCACCTATATTTGACGAGGGACAAGGAACGTGGAAACATGGACTTGACCCATGTTGAAACCCTGCCAAGACATCGCCAACATACCTCAGATAACTTGCGACATATCTCGGACATTGAACGCCTGGATAGGACGCACTCAATCCTCGTTTTGCCACGCACGGGCCAACGGAATCACTCGATTCACTAGCATCAAACATGACATGACGAAGGAGCGCCGCCTTCAAATCGTCCCACCGTCAGGCGTGACGGTGGACGTTATGTTCCCTCCAATAACGCAGTGGTAAGGAACTAACGTTGCCCTTTTCAGAGTACAGTCAGAATATGTGCGAAGATTTCTGCCAAGAGAAGCGGCATTAGTAAAGAATTTAAGGCACGATTGCGTTCTTCGAGTGTATCAGGTGCTGAATACATCGATACTTTATTATTAATCAGTTTAGTTCCGCATGCAACCGCGCGCACGACACGGTAGGTTTTGGTGAAAGTAGATAAGTAGCCTATGGAGAGTTGTGCCCCGCCGCTGAAGAACCTAACAGTTAGCTCATGAAGTGCGTTAGCTGATCTTCGTTAGGCTGCCCTGTTGTGCTGAAGCTCACCGTTTGATACGCGCGGTAGAGTGCGGAGTTAACCCTTTGACGACAATGCGGATTTGCACGTAGCGTGCTCGTGGGACCACGCCTCTTTTTGGCGCGCCCAACTCTCGCACAAAATGGGGCAAAATTGTCCCTAAAAGCAGTTTTTCTATCAAAATTTTGACTATGACAATAAACAAAATATGACTGCAGTCTTAAGCTTTATGATCATGTATTGTTGGAATTAGAAGTGGAAGTTTGGAAAGAAATCTCGGATTTCAAAGGGATGGTGTTTGAAAACTCTAGAAGTTCAAATGTACAGTAGAATTTTGATATAGTTCAAACTCCTCCTTGTGTCTTAAGACTGTGAAAAGACGTAGAGGTCCTGATCTGTAATTCACCTTAAGCTTAATAATGTAAAACACTAGTTAATACATCGCCGAGCGAAGTGCCATATCCTAAAATTTCATATAAATTAGCTAGTAACAAACATTTCTGCAAAATATGCTAAACATAGGCGTAACGGAGCTTGCTTATAATTACTGATATGTTGAAAATGTTTTAAATGGGTAAAGAAGAAAATTTTAGGGTGGCACCCACCATTGGGTGCCATTGTCCCACGCGACGGTCATAGTGGCACCCACCGGTGGGTGCCATTGTCGCCAAAGGGTTAAACTGGTGTATATAAACAACCATCATGAAATGAAGGTCAGGATAATTTAGCGGTTGAATAATAATTGATGCTAATGATGGTGAAATGAAATTCCTAGTAATCATAATAGCATTTCATCAACAACCACTGTCCATTCCTAGGACTCTAGGTAGAGTAGCGGTCGAATGGCGATGACAGCGCAAATAAAATGAAGATAAAATGATTGAAATAAAACGCGTTCCTTACCTAGAATTTGGTTTTGAGTGACCTCTACATTCTTGTGCATGCCGTTATTATCAACCTTATCAGTTGTTATCACTTTCTGTCCCCACCAAACATGTTCCCGTCCCACCCTCTACATCACTTATCGAAACCAACGCCTCACTGCTGCTGGGACGCGCACTATGAATTTCGTGAAATTTGCGTTTCAGCGCCTCTTATCAGCTCTTATCAGTCGTTATCACTTTCTGACCCCCACCAAATATGTTCCCGTCCCACCCCCTATATCATATTCAAAATACAGCGCTCCATCGCTGCAGCGAAGCGCGCTATGAATTTCGTGACAAACAGACGCACACACACACACAGACATACTTAGCGAATTATATATAGTAGGATAAGGATGGGTCGAAGCATTATTGGTGAATGAATCAAGGGATGAACACCGAACCGATTGGAGGCACGTGTCCGGATAAGGTGATCAAAGTAACCCCCTAAATGAAAAGTGTGGCTGAGTTCGCAACCATAGAGGTGATGCCGCGCTCGTGACTCGAAACCGCGCAGGAATGAAGTGCCCGGCTGGACACGAAATTACCCAAAATCGATCCAGACTCGTGCCTTTGAGAGCGTTGACTTGTTGGTCGCGATCCGTAATTTCGATAGAACGATCTATGTCCTGGCAACTGGCATCTGCTTATATACTACATTACCTCACATGGCTGGGTCCCACGCACAGACTCTGAGGTATCGATACATGTTATGGTAAGTTTGTGATAACGAATTATCCGGCTGCGAGAAGCAACATAAGTGTTGGACTTCTTAATTCAAATCTGTTCACCGCATCGTAGGATATCATAAAAGCAGCATCAGTGAGCTGCATGAGTTGGCTGTTGAAAAGGAACAGTTCATCACTGCAAAACAGAGTTTGTA